TGCCGGTGGGACTTGTCGCGGTGGTCCAGGAGAATTGCTTCCTCTAGTCCCCGGGGTAAGGGAAAGGTGGGCATCCTTTTTCTCAGCCGTGCAAACTGCTTTCTCTGCCTACGATGCCTGCAGAACAGCACACGCAGGCTGCTGCAAAACGCAGGGTGGAAGGAGGTGGTAGCTGGGTCGGAAATAAAGAAAGCAAAAATACAATGTGGTGTGGGCAAGGTGTAACCCAGCGTTAGTGCTGGAGGCTGCAGACCCTCCTGCTGGGGCTGCGGGCAGGCTCCGCTGTCACCCCGCTGCGGCTGTCCCTGCGAGGACGGGCAGATGCACCCTGCTCCCAGCATCCGCACGCACCTTCTCTCCCTCGCCAGCTCGCATCAGCTTCACGACCAGGTGAGCCAGAAAGGCTGTTGATCGTTTTGAGTCACGTTTAAGTCACAAAACACATCCCAGGTATAGCACCTGGCACAGAGGCCGTGGAACTTTTCGAGGTTGCATTAAAGCCATGACTAACTAAACCCACGTACATCGGCGAGCCTTGTTCTGCGCCCTCGTGGCGCGGGTGACTGTTCCCCGAGGTATGTGCTTGCCCGCACAGCTCAGCGTGGCTGCCTTGGCAAACAGATTTCCACAACTCATCGGCAGCTTCGCTGAGCTGAGCTGCCCGATGCGAAAGGCTTTTCCATACATGCTAAAGTCTGCTTAAAATCCCCCTGACTTCTCCTGGGACCTGCTGATGCCCCCTGCCCTGGCCAAATCTGTGACACATTAAATAACTGGCACCCTGAAAAGTAGCTGGGAAATCTGGAAGGGACCTCCTAGGGCTTGTCTCTGTGCCGTTGGCAGCCCCAGTTTTGCTGTGCTGTTCGGGACGGCCAGTCTTTTGGCAACATAAGCATGAAGATGGGCCAGTTCAGGGCTTTGTTGCGCTGCCAGTTCGCCTTGAAAACTGCAGTTAAATGAAGTAAGTTTGCCTGTTTGTCAGTTGGACTATTTATCCTGGAATGGAATTTAACCATTTGTGCTGATCGCTCATTCCCACTGTGGCTAGGTTGTTCACGGCTCAACTTTTACCTCAGACTGTATTTTTGGAAGAATTCCTGTTTTGCAAATTTAATCATTTGCTGATTAAATGCTGCTGAATTCCCCAGAGCCCAACAGTTCACTGAGCCAGTGAAGAAAGCGGCAGTGCCAGAGCACATGCTGAATACAAAGTTTACACACACTTCGGAGGAGGATCGGAGACCTGGATTGAGGGAGAGGACTGACATTTCCTGTTCTGTTGATTTAAAGTGATTAATTGCCTGTTTTGATTCAGCTCAGTTTTGTATCTCAAATATATTTGTCATGCTTTGTGTGGGTCTCCTGGGAATGCACCCTTGAGTTTAAAATGTTCTTAGTTATGGTCTATAGTCTCTGCTCATCCAAATCACTTGGTAGAAATTTTGTTGGAATATCAGGAGAGGTTGTGGAATATCAGGAGAGGTTGTGGAATATCAGGAGAAGTCCAATCCCACTTCAGCAGCACGACTTAGTTAAAACCTGGCGTGCCAGCTCCGAGCTGGCCAAACCAACTTCCCAAGGTCACAGTTGGTGGGGAGCAGAGGAGAGCATGGAGCTGCCCCACAGGTGCAGGGGCTGTGGGTCCCTCGGCACCCCTTTGCCTGCATCTGCCTTGTGCGTGTGGCTGGTGGAGGGGAGCCAGCCTGGATTTGAGTGAGCATGGAGCAGCTTCGTGCTCAGATTTCAGCTCCTGTGTTCTCTGTGTCATTTGCTATGGATGTGTGGTCATTAAAAGAGCCTTTACACATCTCTTCTGAGATGCTTTTAGTGTTGGATCCAGTCCAAAACTTGCATTTCCGCATGAGATCAGGCTTTTACCTTTCTCCCTTAGACCCGAGCGGGGTTATACTTCTCAAGCCCTCGAGGGAGGAAGAAGAAATGATGATCTTTCATCCAGAATCTGGTAGCAGAGGCCCTGGTTAAGAAGTAGGCGCTTTCCATTCCTTTTCCTCTGCAGCCCACAGGACTTTACACTATCTACGCCCCAGAGTGCTCGGCACAGCAGGTGGAGGTTACCCACCTTGGGGGTAAATCTCCCACATAAACCCATCCCACCCTCTGCCAGCGCAGGGCTGGTTCTTGATAGCACAAACCAAGTCCAGTGCTCCAAAACCAAGGTTGGCTGCAAAGGCTTCTAGTGTTAGGGCTTCAGCCAGTGAGGTTTGCTCAGCATCTCCCCTTTACTTCCATGGATGCTCTCTGTGATGTCATGACGGGAGGAAGCACAAGCAGAGGTATCAAAGGGACTTTCCTGTGTTCAAGTGTCGCTCGGCTAAAGGCACCGCACCTAGCCCTGCTTCTGCTGGCGTTGCCAAAGGGGTGGATGCTGGGCAGAGAGCCTGGCTGTGCCCCCACACAGCCTGGGCGGTCCCTGGCAGATGCTCTGCGGCTGAGCATCCTCTCAGCGACAGGCCTGACATGGGTGATTATTTGAGTATAAGCCATCTCCCGGGTTGCAAAACACTGGTCAAATGAAAAACTGAGCTAACTCAGCACCAAAGTGACTGAGCAAATAGTCCCTTGGTCAGTCAATAGGGTGACTCTGTGGCTGATTTCTACACCAGTATGCAGGTGTACTTGAACTTCAAGCTTCAAGCAGCAGCAGCTATGTCAGCACTAGTTCACAAAAATCCTTCTCCCTGGCAGAGTAGTTTCTGTTCAAAGAAAAGGGAATTCTTATATGGTTTTGTCTCAATGATCTATTTTTTTCTGCCTATGACTTTGGATCTTTCCCACTGGTCTTTCCACTTTTTCTTTGTCTATTGCCTGTTTAATATACAACAACACTGGCTATAAAAGCCATAAAATGGTGATCACTTTCCAAGAGTGAACCCGTCAGTGTTGCTGATACAAATGCTGGTGCTCACGCTACTCCTCAGCCTGCAGCTTCCGAGGGCCAGAGATGAACCTTTCTGGGAGCACCAGCTCTTTATTGCCTATTAAATTCAATTCCTGGAAATCAATAACATCTTAATGTGATGTTATTAACTAGCGTTCCCTCCTCCGTACACTCCATTGGTGACTGTGGACTCATTCTGTTGGATTTTACCTGGATACTGGCCTTCTTCACGTAAATGGCTGGAGGAACCTGTGGGTCAGGAGGCATCATTACACCGGGGCAGACACAGGAGCGATGCTGTTGGCTGCTGTAAAAGTGCTGCTGTATTTTCTCACATCTGCGGGGTGCTAATTGCTCAGCCACGTGCAAGTGAGAACATATTTACATGCCACAAAATGCAGATGCTGTCAGGGAAAATCTGAGTCTTCCTTGGGGTGGCCATGGAAAAAGAACATGTGTGCACTGACAGGCACCGCCACTGTCCCTGAGGATGTTCTCCATGGCTAGGGTCAGTTTATAAGGAAGAATTACTTTATATGATGTTTAGAAGTGACAAGAATCTCTACAGATGCTCTGCAAATACAGAGTGATAACACCTTGTTTGCCATTACCTGGTTTTGTGATGCAGAAAGACCTTGAGCTAAAAAGTATTGTGAGATTTATTTTTATTTCTCCAAATCTATGTATGCTTTCTCTTTTTACTTCTCCACAACTAGTTTGTTAAGGAGGAAGAGGTGCTGGACAAGGTGGAAATCTGGGCACAGAAGTATCTATGCGCTCACCCTATCTGGTTTCTGGTTGTCACTGATCCTGACTATGCCAAGGCTCTGTTGGCCAGAGGAGGTGAGGAGATGATGCCTTCAGCTGTAGAGCAACAACTACAGCCTGCAGATTTCCTGTGCCAGCCTAAAGATTCATAGCAAGGCAGGGTTTCACAGAGAGGTTGTCTTGCAGAAATCATCTAAAGGCATGGAGAGATACCCCTCCCTGGTGCCATGCTCTGGGTGCTTCAGGCACAGGGCTGTGGGGCTGCCTGGGACCCCTCCAAGTCAATTGCTGCAAATCACACCTCCTGAGGCGCTCCTTGAAAGGTTATCTTCTTGGTGCCTGGCCCCAGCAAGGAAAAGACAGCTGGGAGCTTTTTTCCACAGCTCTGAGCCATGGCTCCTACTACAGAGCCTTATATTTAATGCATCAAGAGAGAAAGGTGCGTAAGAGTTCTGTCTGGGAGGGTTAATCATTTGTCACACAGCACAGACTTTGGACTACCAATATTCTTGTTTATTCCAGTCTGGGCATCTGGTTTTATATGTGTTTCTTGCAGTTGGGCCAAACAGTGGGGTTTTTTTGTGGTGAAATACTCTTGAATTCTGCAGGGATGCCACCAATTCTGCTTCATACCCAACCAAAAGTGAGAGCCCAGAGGGAGCTTTGGGGTTCAAACCAGTAAATTGGTGCTAGTGAAACATTTACCATTTCCTTTCCTCTTTCTTGATGATATTTTTTTTTTTTTTGCAGATCCCAAGGATAACATCAGTTATAAACACCTTGTCCCGTGGATCGGTATGTATTCCCAGGGCTTTGCCTACCTGGAATGATTCTGGTTAGTCAAGAATGTGCTGTAAATAAACAGCACTGTGCTTGTTCCTTGATGCAGTTATAGCTAAAAGCTTCCTGACATTATTGAGTTTATTGAAAAAGGTACTAAATAATGCTATTTTTTGTGATTTGAGAAAAGGAATTTCAGACATAGTCATACATACAAATAAGGACCACTTAGACATCCATAGGTAGTAAAGGGCGGTGGTGGGGGAAGCTCAGATTCACTGGAGGACCGGTGGAAAATGCATCTGCTCATCTGAACTCCTCACCTCCATCAGAGCCGGTGTTTCTACTCGGAGGCAGCGCTGTGTGGTTTCAGTGAGCAGGGCAGGTCCCGGAGCTGACAGCAGCACGTGGAAACACTCTCTCATAGCAGCTCAGATTTAATCATGCTCCTTGCAGGTGGAGGCTGTGTCCACAGACAGGTGAAAGCAGCCTGCTTGTGCCCAGCAAAACATGCCTTGCCTCTGTTTTCCCCAGGAAATGGGTTGCTGATCCTCCATGGGCCAAAATGGCACCAACATCGAAAACTCCTGACTCCAGGGTTTCATTACGACATCTTGAAACCGTACGTGGCCCTGATGGCAGAGTCTACTAACGTGATGCTGGTAGGACTCATCTCTGATGCTCCTCTCTCTGCCCTGTTTTCCCTTCCCTGATCCTGACTGGTTAGGAGGTAGATGCTGGAGCAGGATTTTCTTACAGTGCCCTTACTCACAACCTGGTAAGCGTAAGGACAGGCTGGCTGTGGTGGTCAAGGTTGCCAGGCCACCACAAATCCCTGCCTGTGGGCTGGAAGGACCGAGCAGGTTGAACTTCCCTACTGGGACTATGTCTCTGGTACAGCTTTGGGCTCTGTCGTTAAAATTTGAGGATTAATATTACTGCTGTCCCCAAACTGTGCATAATCTCAATCCCAACTGCAACTACTTGTAAGGCATTTTTGTAAATGAAAAATTGAAGTATATAAAGGTTCATAATAAATCCCCAAAATACAATGTTTGGGGCAGAGCTACACTGTGACCTAAGGTTAAAGGGTATCATTTGCTGTCAGCATACCCGTGACTGGATTGCAATCCCTGCCTTGTCTAATACACAGTGAGACTGCACTGTTCTTCCATCCATCTGGGCTGGGCACGATGGGAACAGGTGTGAATTACAGGTGAGGGGCACCAGGCTTTGTGCATGTGGACAGAAGGAAGAGTCTGGGTGCCAGATCCATTCCTTCTCCTTTGCATCCAACCTCCCCAGCAGCTCCACATGGATCTGCTGTCCTCCCTCCCACCAGCCCAGGGAGCATCCAGGAGCCGGGGGCTGGAGCCAGGAGAGCTTTTGCAGTGCACACAAGTGCCTGGCAAGTTACAATTCCTTGCAGGCAGTGCAAAGGGTCTACAAGTTATGGAAGCCCATGCCACGAGGTGGCAATCTTGGTCCGTGCTAAGGACTAATGTGTGTCCGTATAAACCCTGCTCCCCAGCCTGGTTTCATGCCTTGAGGGCTCAGATGTGACCCTGCTCCTCCATCTCCTCCCTTTCTCAGCCTTTGAGTCAACTGGTTCCTTACAGCCACGAAGGGACAGAGGATTCGACATCCTTTCGTATCTGCCAGGCAAGAGAAACACCATAGTTTCTCTAGGGATGCCCTATGGGAAGCGTTAAGCAAAAGCTCCTATATTATATGCTGGAGAAACACAGTGGGGGAGCAATTGTGAGCTGGAAGCGTGTGTCTTAGAGACCAAGGGCACCAAAATCATATGTGCTTGTAAGAGAGAGACAGCAAACAGAGACTCGGTGAGGCCCAATGCTGATACGTGCTGCTCTTGTGCAGGAAACACACTGCACCCTAAGAAGGACTTTGGTAACGTGCCCCCTCACCCAGCAGTGCACCCATCCTGGGCTCCTCCAGGTGCCTTTGCGCCAGGGTAGGGTGTACCAGGGCTCAGGGCTGCCAGGATCTGAGAGCAGCAGCTGCCTGAGGCAAATCTCACGTTAACCATCACGCTTTTGGCTTCTGGGACTTTGATGGTAACTAAGAGATCCTCTTCTTTTTTTCCATTTCTCTGGGGTGTATCCCTAGATTAGCACTCAATGAGAGAGTGAATGCAGGTCATAGAGAACTGTCCCCTGCCTCTCATTTCTGTCTCCTTTGAACCCTAGGATAAATGGGAACAGCTGATCACAGATGGGAAACCTGTGGAGCTCTTCGAGCATGTCAGCTTGATGACTCTCGATAACATCATGAAATGTGCCTTCAGCTGTCACAGCAACTGCCAGACCAACAGGTCAGTCCTGGCTGCCCCAAACCCCAGCAGGAAATTTGCAGCTCCAAAGGGAAGTGGGCAAATTGCTTGTCGTGGTAGTCCCAAATTTAAAAACTTCCACCATTCCGCTCTCACCAGGAAAAACACCTACATCCAGGCTGTCTATGACCTATGCCTTATGGTGCACCAACGCCTCCGCATCTTCCCCTACCATAACGACATCATTTACTGGCTCAGCCCCCACGGATATCGGTTCAGGAAGGTCTGCCAGCTCGCTCACGAGCACACAGGTATTCCCTGCCTCCATCCTCTCCCAAAGCTCTTGAGCAGGGTGGGTGATGGCTGAGCAGAGGCAGTTGAGTTACCTCCTTGCAGTGATCCTGCCTGAAGTCTTGGAGCTGGGATCCAAGCAGAGCATCAGCCCGCAGCAGTGGTGTGATCTAGGTGTGAAGCAAGGGGGTCTCACAGGTCCTGGGTTATTAAACTGGACTAACAGAGGAATTCCCCTCTGGGAACACTCCTGTTAAATGACCAGAGACTGATGAGACAAGGGATGGCTGCTGCAGGCAACACCAATGCAAGGGATGAGTTTCCTTTCCAGGCCAGGTGTGATTTTAATGCAGGAGTGGTGGTTAAACAGGCTGAGGAGTCTGTGTTGGACAAAGAATTTTGCAGAAAAGGTTGGTAATGTGCACGGCATTTGCTGCTGAGAAAGCCAAACTGCCTGGGGCGCAGAAGCACACATCAAATGCATTTTGGACTGAGCTGGGGGCACCCCCTTGGGTGCGCTTTGCGTTGGCAGGACCATTTTGCAGCTCAACATCTCCAGCCCCTGATGAACCTTAAACTATTTCTTCCCCAGACAAGGTGATCCATGAGCGAAAGGAGTCCCTTAAAGATGAACGGGAATTTGAAAAGATCCAGAAGAAGAGACATTTGGACTTCTTGGACATTCTGCTGTGTGCCAGAGTGAGTGGCAAGGGGTGACGTTTGTAGCCTCTGTTGGGGAACACAACATGCAGAGGGTTTTCATAGTCTTGATATGAATATGTTTAATATGTGGAGGGAATAAAGGGATTTATAAGCAAAGGAAAAGAGGCCCTGAATTCAGTCTAAATGGAGATTGATTTTTTTTATACATATGCCAGAGGCATCACCACCCCCCTTTGCAGTAGCTGAAAGAATATAATGTCCTCTCCTGGGGTATTATATCTTATGTGTATATCAAGGCCACTGTAATAGATGTGTTTTATCTCTCTGAGTACATGTGGGTCACTGAAAATGTCTCTGGGCTGTTAGGATGAGAACGGAGCTGGACTGTCCGATGAGGACCTGCGTGCCGAGGTGGACACGTTCATGTTTGAGGGCCATGATACTACAGCCAGCGGGATCTCCTGGCTCTTCTACTGCCTGGCATCACACCCTGAGCACCAGGCAAGGTGCCGGGAGGAGATCCAGGGGATCCTGGGGGACCGGAAGACGCTTCAGTGGTAAGGTGACACATTTCCTGGGCTGGTAAGGTTTTTTGCCATCTCCAGTATTTCTAAATGAGCAATATCTCAAGGCTTGAAAGCGGGGTGCTAAAGGAGTGATTTGTAAGGTTGCTGCATGCACAGGGACTTCATAGATGGAGCAGATACTGCATCCTTCAGCTAAATCTGCCTCCCTGCCCTTCAGGGCTTCAGGGCTCCTATTTCCAGGGCAGACCTGAGAAAAAACCATCCCAGACCAGGAGGACATGCTGGATGCCATGCCAAGACCTGGGCTACCAACGTTGCCCTTTGCTCTCTTCTGTTTTCTATCCATGGGACATTGTAATTGTGGCTTTTCACTTTCCACTGTGACTTTGTGCTTGAGCTTGTTCAGAGGTTGTTAAGGTTGTTCAGAGGTGTCTTGGGGTCCTCAGCTTGCAGCAGCCCATGGTTGAATGTTGTGGGTCCCTCCATAAACCCCATCTGTTGCAAGGGGGTCTTCCAAGGGTGATGGCCATGGGGCAAGGGTACCAGGGGCAGCACGTGACTCAGCCTGTCTGTCCTGGCAGGGAGGACCTGGGCAAGATGACTTACAGCACCATGTGCATCAAGGAGAGCCTTCGCCTTTACCCTCCGGTGCCCGGCGTGTCCCGGCAGCTCAGCAAACCCATCACCTTCTCTGACGGACGCACCTTGCCAGAAGGTCTGTAAGCCCTGTTCCCCTTCACAAAATTGTACTCTTGGACATCTCTCTGCCTGCTGCAGAGCAAAGGTGACAGCCCTGCCTCTTCCTTCTCACCGGCACAGATGTTCAGACAGGACTGTGCAGATACTGGCGTCTCACTGATAGACTGAGGTCTGGGCTTACAGCTGCATCTGCATGACATCCCTCCTGCCACCACCGCCATAGGGCAGCCGTCCCTGTGCCCAAAACCCCTTCTCTTCCTGGCTATGGTTCACCCATTTCAGCAAACTGCAGGCGCAGGGGGATGGGGACCGGTCCCATTCTGATTTGCAGCATGGGAATTGCCCTGTGCTCCTGCTTTCCTTCCCTGATTTAGCGCACAAGTGGACAGCGTCAGTGGGGGCATGATCTGGCTATGGTGCCAGCGCCTACCTCATTTCCACTGTTTGGCTGCTGACAACTAAACAAACGGAAAATGTTTAGTTTTCTTTGAAGCCAGTGACAAAACCCTTATTGGTTTCCAGTTGACAGAAAAGACCATGATGGTTTAGACAGACCTGCGTGTGAGCGGGCTGCAACTTCTCCTTTAGTTTCTTTGTCACTGAGCCCTTTCCTCCTCCTGAATTGCTTTACAGGCAGCGTGGCTGCGATCAGCATTTATCTCATTCACAGAAACCCCGCGGTATGGAAAGACCCTTTGGTAAGTTTTCTTCTGCCCTTCTCATATTTTTTCCCCTTCTTGATGTGCCTCATCGAATGCCTTCTTCACCTGTTAGCAGGAGAGCAGAGTCCCTGATGCTGAGCATCTTTGGCCATGGGAATCACGCTGAGACGTGACTGTCTTGGCCAGCTGCAGCATGGGGCGATCAGACGGCAGCATTAGGGCTGGGTGCTGCCCAGGCAGTAAGACAAAGTGCTCTGAAGGGCTTGTGTTAACAGGCAAAAGGATGACTTTTTGCTGAGCTCACAGGTGGAGAATTGGGTCCTGGCTCCCTGGTTTTCATCGTATCTGTGTCTGGTTTGTCTTGGCGACACCATTGCAAGGCTCAGTAGACGGCAAGGGAGCCTGGTGTATGAGTTGCAGTCCACCTCAAAATGAATTCTCTCTCCAATGGGGTTGTTCAGAAATTATGGGGAGTTGTTCTTCTGAAGGTACCAGTCAGTACTGTGTTCCTTAAATAATCCCTTTTTCTTGCTGCATATTCTTCATTTCCAGGTATTTGACCCTTTGCGGTTTTCCCCGGAGAACATCGCTGGCAGACACTCACACGCCTTTCTGCCTTTTTCTGCTGGAATGAGGTAAAGTGTATTGAATGCTGAAGGAGTAGTGGGAAGAGAAATCATGTGTCCCTGGAAACTGCTCAGCCTGAGAAGGGAATGCTGCTGTTATAATTGCTGTCGGGGAAGCACTCGCAGGGTTCTTTCAGAGACCACTGCCTCAAGTCCTGGCTCTGCAGCGTTAAATAGTTCATGAGCATATAACAAGCGTTTGTGCCACGGAGGGGTTCTGATACCAGCAGGCAAAATGGGAAGGAAACATTCTCATGTCCTTCTTTGGGATGGGGAATGGCATCCCAAAGCTGCTGAGCATCCTGCTGGCATCGTATGGGGAACCTGCAGCTCTCCTCCCCTCCTTGATGCAGAGACCCCATCCCCTGCTCAGCCCATGCCCCTGCTTTTACCACCCAAAACGCTGCCTGGGGCCCCCAGAGCTGCAGAGGGGAAGGGTTGTGTGCTGGTGTGAGCAGTCTGGGATCTGACCGCAGGGGTTTGTCCACGCCCAGCACTGAGATGGGGTGGCTGAGCTGCTCTGTTTTACCCCAGGAACTGCATTGGGCAGCAGTTCGCCATGAACGAGCTGAAGATAGCACTGGCCCTGACCCTTCTCCGCTTCAAGCTCTCACCCGATCCCACCAGGCCTCCCTGCAAAATACCTCAGATTATCCTTCGCTCCAAGAACGGGATTCACCTCTACCTAAAGAAAATCCACTGATGCTGGAAAATGCTATGCCTTTGCCGGAGGGAGGGACCAAGCAGATGACAGGACAATCTTTCTCTGGGGCAAAAAGTTCAGGGCAGGATTTGGGGATGAGGATTCCTGATTTATGTGCTTCTTCCACCAGCTGAAAGCCCTTTTTGGCCTGGGTCCAGATAGTCTGGATCTTGGAGCAGCCAGACGTGTCCATGCCTCTTTGCTGGCTTTCCCCTCACACAACCGCAGAGCCCAGCCGAAGCTGCCCTGAGGGCTGCCCTCCCACTGCAAGGGGCCTGGGAACATCTGCAGGTCCCACCAGCTTCCTCCTCACCAAATCCTGCCTTCACCCTCATGTCCTGACTGAATCCATGACCATTCCCAGCCCTGCTCCATCGTCAGCACCTTCCTCAGTGCCTAGAGGTCAGCCCTCCTCTCCTGCAGCGGGACAGCCCGTGGCAGAGCTCTGTTTCTCTTCTCACACTCAGTCTCTGTTTTGTTGAAAACACTGATTCCAGTTTGGGCTCAGAAATTCTGCCTAAACTGCAAAACATTCTGTAATTTTTGTGTTAATAAACCAATAATTATTGCTGTAACAGCAGCTCTGTAGGGTTTTATGGCTGATGCTTGCCTGCTTCGTCACAAATACAGCATAAAACCCCTTTATAAGTGGGAAATGGAGAGGAAACCTATGAGCAGCAAGAGGCGACCCTGGGGGTGTCCATCTGGGCCCCTACCTGCAGGTTTCCAGCCTCAGCCAATGCAGCATCTCCTTCCATGGGTTTCCTTAACAGGGTTTCAATGTGCAGTCTTCAAGGGAGGAGTTCTGACAGTTGGAAAGGGTTTTTTTCTCTCTTTTTTTTATTTTCCTAAGCTGATGAAGTTATGAGAGTTGTATGCTTGAGTAGGACACTAGCAAGCTGTCCCTCTGCCTCTGCAGGAATCGCTACTGGGGTAGAAAGCATCAAATTGGAAATCCCAAATGCTGCTGTTGCAATTCGCGTCGTGGTGACGTTGACTGTGGTTCTGGCATTGTGGGCAGGCTGCTGTGCAGTAAGACAGCACCTGGCTTCATACAGCTCTCATGGTAAGGCAGATAGAAAGCAGGAGGGGAAACAGGAGGAGCTTTTTGCGGCATGCACTGTGCTTCACTACCAACACCACGACTCCAATCCCTGGGGAGTCCCATTAACAGAAGGTTATATCACACATAAGGTTTTGTCCGATTTTAATTTTCAATACATACAGGGTGCCCATAATAAATAATAGAGATAATGCAAATAACTTGTGTCATACCTCACTCCGAGCGTATTACCAACCCATGGCAAATGTCACACCAAAGGTGTCCTCAGCTGCCAACACCAGGCCAGTACGTTGTGCAAACAGGGTTGCACCTCCTCTGCCACATAACCCCTACCACAGCTGTATCCCTAGCTACCACCAAACCCCCACAAAACTCCTCCTGTCTCCTCTCCACTTACCTCTGCGCCAGCACATCCGGCCACCATCGATAAAACCCGCCCGCCACGGGCTGCTCGCTCAGCCAAGCAGCCTCCAGAAATGTCCATCAGCCAGCTTCACCTCCGATCTCCATACCTCATGGTGCTCCAGGCACCCCAGCCACAAATCAATCCCTCCTTTGAGCAAAACCTCCAGGCTGACCTGAAGCAACTGCTATGATCCGGTAATACTCCATTTCAGAAGAAAAGGTAAAAGAAAGAGATCACCTGCGTGCACAGGTGACATGAAGGACATGACTGCATCAGCCAGGTTTGCCCTGAATTCAATTACAACTCTGTGAAGCCTGAGTACACAAAAAATACCAAATGACTCCCACCCTACCATAGCTTGCGGGGAGAAAAACTTGGGTTTCTCCATATCCTGGAATAAGTAAAAGGAAATCCATGATTTATCTCCTCCTGATGAGGCTCTGGCTCAGAAGGAAGGCAGCCCCTGGCTCAAGGCTGCTCAGTCACAGCCTCTAGTGATGTGGCAAGCTGACAAAGGCCAGTTCCTTCAGCTGTGTTCAAACATATTTCAAAGCCACTGGGCAAAGGCTCACAGGGTAAAAGCTGCAAACCGACCTCACCGCCTTTCCTCCGCCTTTCCACCTCCACCAGGAAAACCAAATCCCAGTTCAACTTACTTTCGCTCCAGAGTTAATCCAATTTATTTTGGTCTGAGCCAGTTCCTCTCAAAGGAGCGGGAGCGTCGGTGCGGTGGTACAGCACCCACTTTGCAGGGGACACTCGCTGCGGCTGGCGCCGCCGCAGGGCAGCCCGGGTGAGCGCCTGCACGCTCCAGCTGCCGGTCCCCGCGTCGGACGTGAGGTCTGGAGTCGGAATCAGAGATATTCCCACAGTGGAGAGAGACAGAGTATGCTTATTAAAATGTAGGATGTCATACAGCTCTCAGAAGACACACAGGCACTTTGGAGGGCGGTATTAGGATTCAAAATGATCTTGATAAGTTGAAAAAATGCTCAAGTGACTAGGACGCAGGCACAGCCATTGCACAGAACCAAGAGGGGAAATGACTGATAGGCAGCAATCTCCCCAAAAGTTATTTTGTAGATGCAGAGGCTCACAAGGGAAATGCAAATCGATGGTATCCTGCAGTTGTAATCAAAGCAAGCATCGTACTTGGATACATAAATGCAAATATTTCTCAAAATTTTTTCATGTGCATCTCCTTTCACTAGATGAGATGAGACGGTGTCCTTCAACCCTGCCTGGAGATTCACGTATAAAGGTTACTGCATTTACTCCAAAATGTGCCTTGCCTACATACTCTAAAGTGTAAAATGAGAACATTTTTAATCAAAATAGCTGAAGTCACTAGAAGCAAATGGCATGCATCTCTATGTTGGATTCGATTTTCTTCTAAATAAAAGATTTGAAAAAAATTCCATCTAAAAAGGAGTGGATGAACCTTGACATGCAAATGTGAAAGAAAACATGAGCATCTGAGGAGCAAGAGCACAAGGCAGAAATCATGGTGTATCCACTGAAGGGGAATAGGCGAAGGGATCAGACCTCAGGAACCTGGCATAACAGTCCTCATGTAAATACCTGGCAGCTGCTAAATTGCATTTAGGTAGAAACAGATTACACAGCATAAAGCACTCCCTAAGGTTTCTTAAGCCCTGACACAGGCTGCTTGGGGAATCCACGCTTTCCGAGGTTTTAAGAGCAGGTCACCATTTTTGCTGCATAATCCAAAAACCTGAAGAAGGCAATAAATGCGGTGTAAGGCTACAGCAGGGTACCTCTGGTCTGGTTTTTGGGAGTGGACTGATCCGGGAGTTGAGGAAATCCTGCATTGCTGCTTTCCCATATGGGTTGTCCGACACATGAATGTTCCTGGCTCAGGGACGGAAAAGCCAGGCTGATCCTGCCTTCACCCTGCTCATTCATTGTCCCCTCCACGACTTTTAGGATTCACCAAAAATCTGTCTCTTCATACCTGCAGAGGAAAAGGAAAGGTGCTCTGCAGCATTCCCATCCTCCCCTCTGTGTTGTGCTCCTGGCTTCTTGGCACGGGAGAGGAGCGGAGCCCTCTTCCCCCTGCAGTCACATACCTAAGCCCAACATCATCAGATCTGTGCACAAAGTGCTTCTTGGTGCTAACACACTCCGAGGCCAGGAGCTAAAGACAGTGTCTTCTAAATAATGCCATGCATGGCAGCCCAGCTCCCAATCTCCCACAGCCACATGGACCGGTACTGCATGCCAGGCCAGCCAGCCTGCATCCCGCATCTTGCATCCTGCATCCCAAATGTAATATCCTGCATCCCACATCCCGCATCCTGCATCACCCCACATCCTGCATCCCGCATCACCCCACATCCTGCATCCCGCATCTTGTATCCCGCATCCCACATGTCATATCCTGCATCATCCCACATCCCGCATCCTGAATACAACATCTTCTGTGGTTGCTCTGCTTTTGAACTGGAGAGCTGGCTGAGGCTGCGACAGGGTTCCTGGACAACTTCGTCCCAGTGCCAGACTGAGACAGAACTTTCCAGAATGTAATTTCTGAGAGCTCTTCCCCCCAAATATCTTTTCCCTCCTAGATATTAGGGACATGGTATTAATAAAAAGACCTAGTCACTGGGGAAGTACAACTGAGCGATAAAGACAGACAAAGACTAGACGCAGAGAGTTTACCTCATTCTTTAATCCCTCCCAACTTTCTGCAGAAAGGGTGATTGCAAAGATGATGAGCTGACCTCGGACTGCCTGATTCAGTCCTTCAGATAAGTAATTTAACAAGAATTCTTGAGAGGGGCTATGTGGGGTGCAACAGGATAAGTCTTTGTTTTGGTTAAAAACATCTTGGATTTTTCTCGTCGCTACAGCTCGATCTTTCAGTAACAACAAAGCAAAGGTGCCATCTACTCACCCACTTACTCCTTACCCCATGGAGACTGTCGTAATAGCTGCACAGCCACATCCTGGTCACACAAGGGTACCCATCCATCGCAGTCTGGTGGTGGTACTTTCTCTGCCAAGCACGACAGGAGCAGCAGAACCAGTGGCGAGAGCAGCTTGCTCGCACTGCCCTGCCAGGTGGTACCAGCAATTTCCATCTGAACCCCACTGGGATTTTACACTGGAAGCAGCCTTTAAATTAAATAAGTATTGCACCATATTTGTAAGACAGCTGTATTAATTGCTTCCAGATATAAATTCATCCTTGAGACATGTGTGGTCAAATGGGATCCAGGCGGCTCACATTACTCGGCAACACTTGCTGGGCTCTTGACGTGATTTCCTCATACGTCATGTGTTTGGAAGCCTGAAACTTTATTATTTTTTTTGGCATTACAACTACATTTCATCTGTCAGCACTAAGCACTGCAGGAACACACAGGGACAGATGGGCCTGGACTCCCCTTACTATCCGAATAAACACAGGCATGCTCGGGAAAGCAGCTGCTGCAAGGTCACGCTCTGGGGCAAAGTACTGATTTGACACCTAAATTTCACCTGCTCAGTAAACCAGTTCTGCATTGA